TGGCAAATTCTCCTTCAAATCCTCCACATATGCCATGCTCCATCTCTGTGGAAAAAAATATTAACCTAGACCTTCCTAAGAACACCATATGCTTTAAACATTAAAACAAGCTATAGGCAAACAAGCTACCAAAAGTTAATGATTAAAGCTCTTCTATAGGAAACTGCCATTCACCCTTTTATTTCTTAAAGGAAGAGGGGAGGCACTGCATACAAATGACCTACTATAGTCTGAGGACTAATCTACAACTTCTGACACAGTTACACAGTGGGTACACTGTGCACTCATCATCACACTACCAAGCCAAAGGCAAGCTACAGTGAAGTCTCTCACATAAAGCAAAAGGTACCATCTACTAGGCCCTAACAGACATCTGACCAAAAGCTGTTATCTCCCCAAATACAACCACTGCTTTCCCCTTATAAAGAAATTGAGGCTCAAATCCCTTAGTAACTTTGCCAAGGTCACATGTCTGGCAAGCACAAAGCAAAGTCTGCCCAAACTGAGTGGAGAAATGTGTCTAGGTACAAAATCCCACCCATTTGTCCTTTACAGCACTATTAATATTGTTGAGAACTATTTGTCACCCTTTACAATATCTTAAAACATACTCAAGTTTTGTGGGGGAAAAGTCAACCATAGTGGATATCTGCCTGAGACAGCCTTTCAAGAGCCTGAAGAGATGGCTTGGTGGCTAAGCTGGGTTTGGTTCCAAACAACAGACTCACAACTGTCTGTTCCAGTTCAAGTGGATCCAACACCCTCTACTGACCTCCAAAGGCACCAGGCACACACATGATGCACATACATACATAGACACTCACACATATGCATAAACTAAACTTCAAAAAAAAAAAAAAAAGCTTTGTATGACTGTCTACTTTTTTCCTATACATACATCCATCTCTCTCATGCAAGATTCAAATGTTATCACTCTGCTTTCCTCCTTTACTGAAAGGTCCTTGAAAAATTGGACAGGGGAGTATGAATCCATGGTATGTTTGCCTGGCATGCATGAGGCATTGGGTTCTAACCCAGCATGACAGGGAATAAAACACTATTATTTAGCCTGGTGGTAGTGATGCGTGCCTTTAATCCCAGTACTCGGGAGGCAGAGCCAGGCCAACCTGATCTACAAAGCGAGTTCCAGGAAAGGCGCAAAGCTACACAGAGAAACCCTGTCTCGAAAAACAAAAAAACAAACAAAAACACTATTATTTTACTCCTTTGGAACATCAGGCAAATTGGTGCTGTGTGGCAAGTACCTTTTAGTGTATAACTATAAAAGTTTACTTGCATGCAGCTTTACAGCCTTATCCTTTCAAGGAAGTAAACAATTAGAGATGTGGAAGCAGGCTTTGGTTAGCACTTCCACATTTATTTATTTACTTATTTAGGCTGTCTGTGTGTGAGTGCATGTGCCGAGTTACCATAGGACAACTTGTGGAAGTCAGTATTCTTCTTTAACCATGTGGACTCAGTTCATTAGGCTCAGCAGCAAATGCCTTTACTTGCTAAGTCATCTTGCCAACCTGTTAGCATTTAATAAAGACTCTGGGTAAAGGTGGAACTACAGCTTGAACCAACCAGGTGAAGCTTATATGTCAGTCTTTTTCATTTTTCAAATGTGTTCAATTTGTGTCTAAAGATGGAAGGCAGGAATCAAGTCTAATGCAGGCCTTAATACATAACTTAAGACCATCATCATCCCATGTATTAACAACAGGGTCTTAGAGTCCCAATTTTACTTATAAAAAAAGAAAATTTATTATGAAATGTTGTTCTGTATCTCACAAACATTATCACGACTTTATACAGATTGATTCACTGGCCTGAGAATCTGTATAATGTCAATAATCAGCACAAAGGACCACAAGAGCTGAGTAATGATTATCAAATCAAAATGCTCACATCTCTTTTTAAGTTTTTTCTCTTTAAAACATTTTACTTAAACTCAAGGGCTCCAGAGTTTCATTTGTCTGTATCTCAGAACCTAGATGCAGTCTGTGGAAGCCTCTGTTCTTTGTTGAACAGACAAAGAGGGAGAAACACCAAATATCTGCATCTAAGAACACAGATTGCATCTATCTACATTAGGTACCAGAGAAAAGGTATCCAAAGCCACATAAAAACTCTGTGCTCTGGAAGCTGGGCAGTATGCTCCTCAAAAACACCCTAGAAGATCCTAGTCTGCCTCATACTACTTGGACACATTACTACAGACCAGCAAAGAAAAATGTAAGCATAAATACTGTAGGGCGTTTACCCACCACCCCCACAGCTTCCCAGAGTTTTCTTGAGTGCGAGCAGCAGGAAATATTAGATAGAAGGATTTATAGCGGAGAATCTTGTGGAGATAAACAGATAGAAAATAAAGGATAACCTCGAGAGGGCCTGGAACCTATTCCAACGGGCCCGGACTGTCTCTGGTCCAGGGTTTTTATAGAGATGCCAAGGGGTGGAGCAAAAGACCTCCTCCCCCAGCACAGCCAAGTGCAGACCATCTCAGACACCTGCACTCAGGCCCGTGGTC